TATGTCTATCTTCTGAATTTCTCAGAGGGCTCTTTCTGCGTCCGACTTGGTAAACATTAAAAACAAACAAATGCCCTGCCGGCGGCGTCAAGACTGCAATGTTGGGCCAAAATAAGAGGTGCTTATGCAAACTACTGTGAACTTTCACCGGGGAGCAGAAGAGAGGGGAGTGCATAGTCACACAGGGAAGGCATTATGAAGTCTCTCTCCTCTGAAGTTTCTACCCTTTGGGTATAGCTAATTGTATTGAAGGAGCACTGGTGGCATCGTGGCTATGCATTGGGCAGCTAACCACAACATCCACAGTTCAAAACCATCAGCCACTCCTGGGGAGAAAGACGAGGTTTTCTATTTCAGTAGAGTTTCAGAATCCCACAGGGCCAGTTCTACCCTACTCTTGGGGGACACCCTATGAGTCAGAATTCACTTGATGGCAGTAATTGTACTGATAGGCAAACTCCTCCAGGTATTTATTATTTGCTTCATAGCCCTGTCTACTGTTTGTCTGAAGAGTAGCTGCTCGGGGACCTAAGGGACACAGTTTCAGGGGTTCCATTAGAGGTGGTCAGACCAGGAACGACAGTGAGGAATGAGATGGTGTCTTGAAGTACAATTTGTAGGTGAGCTAGAGCAAGTACACACGGTTGTTATCAGGCCCTGGCGCAAGTAAAGCTCCCACGCCTTTTCAATGATTTAAGAGCTACTTCTGTAGCAAGTAAGTCTGAAACTGCGAGGACTCTGTTGCAGGTGGTTGGTTCAATTGTTTCAAAGTGAAGGCAAGTTTGCAAGCAGAAGCAATGGCGGACGAGTAGGAGTTGTATGCGAATCAGGCTTTCTTAACCTGGGGACTGCCTCTACTGACAAGGGGCAAGACCAAGTGCAAAGATGTCAACTCGATTCGGTGCTTTTTCTACCTCACCGAGGGGCACTGTCCTTTTGGGCTGAAACTCCAAGGAGCCAGACAATACCCATTGTCCTGCAGTCACCACCACTCCATCCTAAGGTGGGGGCCCTGAGAGGCACGCACAGTCAAGGTCGCCCTACCAATTTGCTAGTTGGTTGTCTTCCCGCGACCTCATAGTAGCAGAGCTGTGTTCCCTTCCAAAGAGCTTGCCACCCGGCTGCCTCTGCTTGTCTCCCCAACTACCAGGTCATGCTGGGCGTGCAGAGGGTGCTGCGGTGGCAGCCAGGCCTTCACACCCAACCACCAGCGAAGAGGCGCTGACAGCAGCGGCTGCTGGAGGAGCGCGTGAGTGCGCACGTGTCCGCGCGAGCGCGCGCACACCCACCAGCACTGGGCGCCACCGGCGCAGGGGGTTCACCAGGGGAGGGGAGGGGAGGGGAGGGGAGGGGACGACCTTACCAGATCAATGAACGTCAGGAATTTCCAGCTCCCTCCGTAGGTCTGATGCGAGGGCATTTCGATGGCCTTGTAGTTACACAAGATAGAGCAGTAGGACAGCAGAATGGCCACCCGCAGCACCTGGCAGGGGACGAGCGCCATGTTCGCCAAAGGCC